AAGGTTCGAGAGAACGAGTCACGTGACCTCGCTGACGCAACAGTATCTAATCATTTTGACCTTTATTTATATGATAAAAACTAAATTGAAATTGTATTTAAAAAACAAACAAACAAACATACTCTTGGTTACAACAACATTTGTTAGTTTTTTTCAGCAGAACAGATGTTAGGCCACTTTTGAAGTATTGCATTAGCTTTGGGTATCTTATGGTAGGAAGAGCATAAGTTAATAACATTAAAGGGCAATAAGGGAACTATTGGTCCATCTAGGCCATCCTATCCATGAAATTAAAATAAAGACTAAAAAACTCAAATCAGCTCTTATCATTCAAATATTTATAAAGCTTTCCATAAAACTCCCTTAATTCTGCATATACCATATCTGAAGGAAACTTGTTCCAAAACCTAACCATCCTGTTAGAAAAATAAAGCTATCTTAGATGAAGATGATTCTTACCCTACCAAAATTTATACTTGTGTCCCCTAGTCCCATCATTTTCATCATGAAATATGAAAAAAGGTCGTACATCAACACTATCAATTTCTTTAATAATCTTAAACAACTCAATCAGATCCCCTATACTTCTTTATTTTTCGAGAAAAAACAAGTTTATAAATCTTAAACTCCCCTCTTATGACAACCTTTCTATCCCATGTATCATACTAGTAGCCCTCCTCTGAACCCTTTCCAGCAATTAAATGTCCTTTCGAAGGTAAGAAGCACAAGACTGAACACAGTATTCCAAATGTGGCCTGATCCATGACCTATAACGACATTATAACTTTTGTATTCAATATTTCTGTACAGACAGCCTAAAATTGTATTTGCCCTGCCACTATCAGTAGCGCATTACTTAGATGGCTTAAGAGACTAATGAACCAGAACACCAAGATCATTTTCTTCCATAACACTGTTAAGGTTATTCCCATCAAAACTATAGTCATAATTTAAATTGTGATATCCCACATTCATTACCTTGCATTTATTATAATTATAAGTCATCTGCCATTTATTTTCCCAACTCATCAAATAATCCAAATCCTTTTGTAAAGCAGTAGCATCCTCCTCACACCCAGCAACACCCAAAACTTTAGTGTCCTCAATAAATTCAAATAATTTATTGATCATTCCTTCATCTATGTCATTGATGTAAATCAAAAAGGAACAAAGGCTTTAAGACTGAGCCCTGAGGTACCCCATTTGTGACATTAATTCCATTTAACTAAACTTCATTTATAACAACCCTCTGCTTTCTTTCATCTAGCCTTTTATATGGCACTTTGTCAGATGCTTTCTGAAAAGATCAGTAAAATAGAAATTTCCCCTACTGAAACCATGCTGACTATCCAAAAAAAATTGTAACCTTTTGTTGAATAACTTTGTAAAGCATCATTTATCAGACTTTCAAAAACTTTTCCCACTGATGTAAGACTAATAGGCCAATAATTACTGAGACAATTCTTATTAACTTTCTTGAAAAGAAGAATAACATTAGTGAACTTCTAATCCTCTAGCACCTGCCCACTATTCAAGGACTTACAAAAAATAGTACCAAGTGTCTTGCATATCCAATCCTTAAACTCCTTCAAAACCCTTAAGGAAATATTATCTGGTCCAGGAGACTTACCATTCTTTAAACTTCCCAGTTTTTCTTAACAAGCTCAAGACTCATGTGGTCATCTTGTTAAATCTT